CCCCCCCCCCCCCCCCCCCAAAAAAAGATAAATAAAAAAAATACCATGTTGATATCTTCTAAAGAGTAGGCCTAACGTAAAAGGTACAAAAAGAGAACGAGTAACGAATGTTTTAAAAATATTCTTTTTTAATATAAAAAACCCAAGAGAGTAATGTATTCTGTACACAAAAAAGAACTTCAGAGGGTGCTTTAAAAAACACCTCTATTTTGATACTATTTTACTGAGTGATGCAGCTGATAAACGAACAATAGGGGCAAAGAATATTTTTAAAGTACCCGCTTCTATTTGAGAAACGGAAAAAAACCCCAAAACATATACATAATAATATTCTTATCAGAGTCGGTGGCGACATCTATAAAGTAAAAAAAAAAAAAGCTTTGACGCTTTATTTTAAAAAAAAGTCTATTTGAATGGATATCATTTCAGAGAATGACGTAACTTTAAACAAACAGAAGGAGTTTAGGGCGTTTTGAAATCTGAATCTTACTTGTGGAAACAAAAAACAAGCGACATCTATAAACATTGCGCCAGTGATTTCTGTGGAAGCTAATTAGAAGAGAGTGAACCATCTTGTAGAGTACTGATGTAGGGTACAATCAAAGATGCTCAACTACTAGTAGAAGAGCATCTTCGGAACAATCTTCGATGAGATATAAATATATACGAGAAGAGCGGAAGTAGCCAAGCAGGCAGCATTCTAGAGGAGGAGGAGGAGGAAACGGGAGGATGTGGCTTACCGTAATACACACACGGGGGGACACCAGGATACCATCGATGAGAGTTGTTTGTTGTTGTTGTTGTTTTTGTTTTTTTCAGTTTTGTTTTTTGTTTGTTTGGTTGTATTTTTTGGGTTGTTTAAGTTTTTGAAGGGGCGTTGTTGTTTTTTGTTGTTGTTGTATTTATCGCACACCAACACAAATATAAGTTGGGGGGGGAAGAAGAGAAAGATAAGTACTTGAAATAACATGATTACAAAGAATATAAAAACAACCAATAACCAATAATACTGAAAAATCTTTAGATTAAGGAGTAGGAAAATCTCAGAATCAATCCTTCAATTTTTGAAAAAGGAGAAAAAATACAACCTAATAAAGAAGGAATACGAGAAAGGATATGCCCTTTAAATAAAATGATAATATGAATTTTTCTTTGTTTAAACTCCATAATATAGAACAATCTTAAAATTTAGGTGAATGAAATGATCCTTTGATAAAAGAAATAAAAATTGATTTAAAAAAAAATAAAGCTACAAAACAAAAAGTAAGAAAACAGCTAGTTAACACTCGGAGATGTAAAAATGCATTCTCAGTTCTTTCTTCACAAAACTGGTTAGAAAGGACAGAATAAGGATATAAAATAAAGCAAAAAGATCAAAAGAAAAACAGAAATATTATACTCATGACATAGAAATATAAATCTTTAAAACAGGATTCTTTTTTAAAGAAGAGAAGAACAAGAGAAGAAATAATGCACTCCTAGGTACAACAATATCACATCAAACTTTAAACCATAAATAAAAAATAAAGTCGTAAAGAAAGAAAAATAACATAAATTTTCTGTTGCTATGAAAACAGAACAGTGGTGTAGATCACTAGTTCACGGAAAATGGAAATGGGACGGAGACATAAAATATGG